GTCAAAGAATTCGAGCCTCGCATCTCTCAAAGAGGTAAAGTTCCACTGCACTTGACTCACGACAAGTTTGCACTTCATCATTGACCATCTCTCTCTCTCTCTCTCTCAAGGTCCCTGTATCTTTCTCTCTCTCTCTCTCTGTCTCTGAAGGTCTTTGTCTCTCCCTCTCTCTCTCTGTCTCGCTCCTCACTCAAGGGTTTTGTCAAACACATTGAAAAAAATAGGAGTTCTCAACATAGTTCAACATAGTTCACATATTGAGTTCACATATTGAGTTCTCACATTGAGTTCACAGATGTTCTCAACATAGTTCACAGAGTTCACACCAGCCCTCAACATTTTTACACTGGCGCTCAACGAAATACGTGTACCTTAATAGCTACAGCTTGAACGGTTCATCAGCATCTGAAAGCGAAAAGCAATATATAAACTTTGCAACTTCAAGTGCGCTGCATGAAAACAATGAGAGATGAACCTGACAACATAGGATTCAAACACGCAAACAATCTAGTCAATATCCTCAGGCTCTTTCTTCGCCTCCATGTTCATCTCACGATCCTCACTGCGTTCCTGCTTCTGCTTCTTGACATTGCCCTTGGGCGCAGCCTTGGCTGTGGAAGGACTGGTCGCAGGCTTTCCTGACATGACCTTTGCCTTGGCCTTTCCTTTCCCCTTTGCCAGAGGCCAATCTTTGTCAAACATCGCTCCAACCAATCGACCCGCCACTCTGCCCACTGCTTGCGCTTCACCTTTGGTCATGCCCTGCTTCTGGAGTTGAACTTCACACGCATGGTACGCTTTGCTTGTGGTTCTCGTTCGTCTCACACCTCTGGCCACACCTTCCTTGTCCCACTCCTTCACCTTCTCCATGGCCATCTCAAGGGTGCCCTCAGGGATCATGTTAATCAATTCCTCCTCATCCTCTGGGAATGACTCCTTTTCTTCAGGGATGGTCTGTTTTGGTTCCTTGGCATTCTTCACCTTTGAAGTTTGGCTGCGCTTGCTACCTGCCTTTGCTGCGGATGCCTTTGCCTTTGCAGCAGCCTTTTTGCCGCCTTTGCCTTTGGCCTTGGCCTTTTTTGGTGCATTCTGATTCAATCTCTGGTTCTGGGACTTGCCATCTCTGGCAATGGGGTCAGCTTCCAAAGCAGATTTCAGCAATGCCTTCTCTGTTTTGTTCATAGCCAAGGAGAACATGTTGCCTCTCTGTGGCGAATCGCTTTGAGTGGAAGGGGCGGCGTCCTCCTCAGCCTTGGCCTTGTTCTTCTTCAAGATTGTGATTGGGATTTCATCATCACCTTCACCTTCACTGTCTCCCCCCCTTCAAAACGTTGTCAAAAATGGCTTCGTTCTCTGATGTGCTTTTCCTGCGCGTGCCCTTGTCTTCAATCTCAACCCGTAGCCGCTTTGGGGAAAGTGGGGCCTCATTCGATCCTTGGCTGTCTCCTTGAGCATGGAATGCAAGGAGTTGTGACTCTGCCTGCGGAATTGCCTCAACATTCACCAGGGCCAGGACATCCTCCAGTGCCTGTTGCTGTTCTTTGTCACACTTGCGAAAGGCTTGCTCTTTCTTTTTTGGATCTTGCTTCAATTGGCGGAGGTGGCTCAAGCCCATACGAACATAGTCATCCAACTTCTCTACAAAATCGTCGTCTTTCTTGCTGGAGTAGTTGATTTTCTTGGTAGTGCACAACCTCCCCAAAGCAGTTCTATGCTTCTTCGATGGAATAAGAGTGTTTGGAGCCAGTTTCACGTAGCTTTTCCATAGTTCACTGAGTGAAGCCAACCAACTTGTCGGGCACCCGGACTTCCAAGAAGCGGTGGCTGGAGGTTGAAGGAGCTTCATGGCATTGTCATCTTTCTCTGATTCGAGGTAGTTTTTCAGGGGTTCAACTAGGTCGCCAACACCAATCATGGGATCCGCAGTGAGACGAGCGCGAACGCTCAACATCTTGGAAAAAATTACAAAGCACCTGTTCAAGTATAGAGCCCAAATCTGTTCAAGTTGAGAAAAGAGTTCTCACAGGTTTTCACAAACAGACTTCAATGAACCTCAAACCTCTATCCATGAGAGTTGCGACACACTGAATCAACACCAAATCTTTAGCGCTTTCTTCAATGATCCCCTCAACACCAAATCTTTCGTTCTCGCTTTGCACACAGTGTCTCAAAAGCTCTCTCATCTCATGGATATGTCTCCCAAAACATGCTCACATAAGAGTATATATGTCTCTCACAGTCTCTCCATTGCAACCTTTCACTGTATATATAGATATATGCTATGTCTCTATAGGTTTCTGGATGTCCTCCAAAAGGTCCCTCTCATGGATATGTCTCTCAAGGATGTCCTCCACAAGGTCCCTCTCGTGTGTATGTCTCTCAAGGTCTCTCAAGGATAAAGTCTAAAAACAGACTCGCAATAGGTCACTAAAAAAACTATCAAAACACTACCAAACAGCTACCAAACTACTACCAAACTACTACCCACGAGGGTCGTACTTTGATACGGTACTCTGGAAGACAGGGGTCATACTTTGGTAGAAACTACGTCGTAGTTTCTACCCCTTCCGCGGCATCGTCGACACAAAAAATCTAACTAATAGTTAGTTTTTTCTGACTAATAGTTAAAAAATCTAAGTTGTAAATCTATAGATTTGATGTGTGTCAAAAATAAAGAGATAGTCTAAAAAAAACGAAGAATAGTTAAAACACAACGAGTATATTTCGTCAACTTTTGCTGAAACTATTTTTCAAAAATCTATTGATTTAAAAAATTCTAACTAATAGTCCAAAAACAAGCTAACTCAATCTATTGGGAAGCGGCGTTTGGTAGCGAGAGTACCCTCTAAATGAAGGTTGATGCTGGCGTGACCAGGTGTTCGTGGCGGGCCAGGTGTTCGGAGCTAGGATGAGCGAGACAATGAGCGAGACAAATGGAAACAAACTTCTTTTTTGTAGGGATTCAGAGGCGGCGTTTGGCAGCGAAAGTGCAACCAGAGGAGGCTCGTTTCAGAATTAGATTGGGGAAAGCTGTGGCGGGGTCAGGTGTTCAGAGGCGGCGTTTGGCATCGAAAGTGCAACCAGAGGAGGCTCGTTTTGAACCAGAATTAGATTGGGGAAAGCTGTGGCGGGGTCAGGTGTTCGG